TGTCACCCACCGAGGGGCGGCACAGCGCCGCGCAAGCCGCAGCGGGCGGGACCGAGCTGTTCGAGGGCTCATCGCTCTGGAGCTCGGGCGTCTCCACGGGACTTTCAATCCGAGTGACTGTGCTTGTGCATCTGCGCCAGTGGCGGGCGCCTGAGGGGTCCTGTACCAGCCGTGTCTCGCGTGCCATGGGAAGCACTGCCTGGTTCAGAATGGGTGCTCCAGCACTTGTTCCAGCTGTCACCGTTTCGGCCATGTTCTCCCGGTCCTGGTGCCGTCTTCTGTGGTGCTGCCTTACCAGGTGAAAAAACAACATTGGAGTTCTAGCTCACCATAACATCCTTTCCTCTGGACAAAATACTTACCGTTCTGTTGTACAGATTTCCATTGCCTTTTCGCCAGAGTACAGGCGTCTTCTCTCAGTTTCCTTTCCTAATCAATTCTGAGTTCCTGCAGGGTTAAAGTGACTTCCAGAACATCACTGAGGAAGCGCTTCATAAACCTGTTCAGGTCAAGCAGCTTTCTCAACACCATTTGCTTGTTTCTCAGCAAAAGAAGATAACGAGACGTTTTGACCTGTTACCTCAGCGTAGACACATGCAAGTGCAGTAAGCCTAAGGTGCAGCTTCAGGATTCATTTCACATGAACAAACTCAATTGCATCAAAAAGATCAAGCCCCTTTTTTTGAAGAATTAAGCCCTCAAATAGCAACCTGTTCCATTCAACGGAGGCACAACAAAATTTTGGACAGTTACAAAAACACATCAAAGGTTTATTTTCGCTATGAATATCTACAAGTTTCCTCTGTGTGTTGATTTGATACACTCACAGGATATCCCTTGCAATCTAGTAACTTCAAATGATTAAATTAAAGCAAGGCTGGCCAGGTTTGAAGCTTTTCTTAATGCTGCATACCAACAAATACATGTTGAATGCAAACCCTCTATCAAACTGACTTTTTGTATCCACCACCTGCCTTTTGGATAGACTCATTCAGAGTTTATCCTGCATTAGCATGTAGGCAACTACAGTCCTGTGCATCGGTAAATGACCTGCAGGATTATGTCCTGTGTTGTCCCCAAGAGCTATAAACTTGATGAAGTTCTTTACTGCTTTTTTTTTTTTTTTACTGTGACAATGTTGTTAGTGATTCCTGTCTGTCATGATAAAAATGAGATACAGAAACATGTATTGTCTAAAAAAAACCTGGGTTTTAATTTTAGTCATGGCATTAACAGATTGCGGTGGTTGTAAATGTGTATTCTAAGTACAGAGTGTCAGACTGAAATCCAGTACTGAACATAATAACTAATACATTCTTGTAGTCAATTCAAATTTATATGTTTTACATACATATATATGTGTCATTTTAACAGCTTGTCCATGCTTTGTATTGTAGCAAAGTTCTAATGGCCCAGTGAAGAAGTCTATGCGAGAGAAGGCTGTGGAACGCAGGAACATTAATAAGGAGCACAACAGTAACTTTAAAGCAGGATACATCCCAATTGATGAAGACCGTCTCCATAAGACAGGATTACGTGGCCGGAAAGGCAACTTGGCCATTTGTGTGATTGTTCTTCTCTTTATTTTGGCTGTCATCAACCTGATTGTAAGTATAGTGCTTTGGCTGGAAGCAACCTTAGGACTTCATTCATTTTGATGGCTTATTAGAGGAATAAATATTCCCGTATGGCTGAGAAAGGCTTAAAATGTACTGAAATAAAATTACATGAAAATGTGCTTTAATGAAATTTCTCATTTTAATTCCTTCCTTTTTTGGGTTTTTGATTTTCTTTGGTTTTGTTGTTTGTTTGTTTTTCTTTTGTAATCTGAGCAAGATTATATGGAAGAATCTTTTAAGTTCAGTCATGATCATTTCAGTTATCATGGTCCTGGTAAGGAACCTACTATTTATGCAACGCAGAATTAGGAACCTTGAAAGCAGCTCTCCATTCCCAAACCTCAGTAACAGCAAATGTGCAGTGTTACTAGTAGTTCAGATGCATTTGGGATAAATTATTATGCCAGAAATATTTCATATATAATAAGAGTTGTATGTGAGCATTCAGAATTAACTATCCACTGCATTTTAAACCTTCATTGTTGTAATTGCCACCTTCTTATTGCTTGATCAATGAGAAGTAATGAACTATTTTTAATAATTGGACATCCACCTATGAAGGTGCTTTCTTGTAGTTCAAGGGTAAGTATACCCTGAGCGCAGCTGCTTTGTGTAGGAAATTTGTTTAGCTAATGATACCATGGTTACCCTTAAACAGGAGAAAGATTTAATTGTCAACATGATTTGATTTCAAATATATATGTATTAGAGAGAGAGAAATTTTAGCTGCCATTTCAGATGAATCTAAAAACCATGTAAAATACTTTTCAAAATGAAGTGTGTTCTGATGCTTCCAGTATGAATTAGACTACAGTAAATTCATGCCCAAAGCTCACTTAAACCCTACATTAATAATTATTTCAAATAAAACATCTAGTTAATACAATACTTGTTGTGGGAAGATCCAAACGATCCAAGCAACCTTTGAAAATGTGTGTTTCTCTTTCAGATCACCCTGGTTATTTGGGCAGTGATTCGCATCGGTCCCAATGGTTGTGACAGTATGGAGTTCCATGAGAGTGGCTTGCTCCGGTTTAAGCAAGTTTCTGACATGGGTGTTATACATCCCTTGTATAAAAGCACTGTAGGAGGCAGACGTAATGAAGACTTGGTGATCACTGGAAATAATCAGCCTGTAAGTTATATCATTAATTGAAAATTTGTGAGCAACACTATGGTATAGCACTGTCATGAATAAACGTTACACTTCAAACATCATTAACTTCATGACTTGTGTTTCTGAAGATTGTATTTCAGCAAGGAACAACCAAGCTCAGTGTGGAAAAAGACAAAACCTCTATTACCAGTGATATTGGCATGGAATTTGTTGACCCACGGACACAAAATACCTTGTTTAGCACAGACTATGAAACTCATGAGTTTCATCTGCCAAATGGAGTTAAAATCCTGAATGTTCAGAAGGCTTCTACAGAGAGGGTATGTCTTCTTTAACTGCCACTTTTTGCAAAAGTTCATTACAGTATTGCCTTAGTTGTAGAGTAAGAAAAAAAAAACTTTACTAATCCAATTTTTCAGGCATACTTAGAATTTTGTCTAAATGTAGCTAAAAATTCAGCTCTGAAAATGTAAATCACTCTAAAGAATAGAAATGAAATCTGACATCGCTACATGAGTGCAATATCTGGAATACCATGCCAGCTAGTCCTGTGTGTCTTTTTATTAAGCATTTACTCATTTGTGCATGAATAACTGTTTCAGAAATAAAATTTCTATGAAAAGCTTCTCCGGTTTTAGTGAGATCTTACAAAAATAGTTACTAGAATTTCATGTATCTTTTTCCTTCTGTTGGAGATAAATGTTAATACAATCAGAATTTCAGAAGTCTTATTACAAGTGTAGAGAACAATCACCATGTTATAGGAGTTGTGTTAAACAAGTTCTTAGTTTGGTTTCAGCAATAAATATGATATATTTATCAGAAAACTAAAAGAACTAAATGCCAGTGTGTGTACATATAAAACTGAACTTAATGTGAGACTAAAATTTCTTTCTTATGTATCATTATTCGTAACAAAGGCTTTACACATAGAGTACAGTGCATAGTTCTTTTGTGTAGCTTTAGTAGAGTAGTATCAGTGGTTTTATAGAGGGTTGAGTGTGCCTTAGGAAGCATTGACCAACCCGGTTAAGAACAAAGTGAATTTAGTTCTTCTTTGTGTTTCCCCTGCAAGGCTGACAATTAGATAGTATGTTCCAGAAAAAAACCCAACAAAACTGTTTGACATACCTTCCATAATTAAGACATCCTTGTTTTTAAATGGGAATGTGGAAAATTACAAATGGGCAGAAACTTTGTCGGCGTAATGGCAGAAGGGCAAAAAATACAGTGAAGTTTTTTATTAAATTGCAGGAGTTTTTTAAGGTGGTGGAAGTTACTGAGGCAAACCCAAGTGACAGTTTCATTGCTCTGTAATGTACTTGTTTTGCCACGTTCTTAGATTACCAGCAACGCGACCAGTGATCTAAACATAAAGGTCGATGGCCGTGCTATCGTCCGTGGAAACGAAGGTGTTTTCATCACAGGCAAGACCATTGAGTTTCGAATGGGGGGTAACATGGAACTTAAAGCAGTAAGTATTTCAAACCAGCATTTTTTTGAACAGCTTAGTTTCAGATTGAGGCTGATAACGAACTGGTGTAGCTTTATATAGTCTCAAATTTTATATAAAGTAGTGTTGCATCAAAGTTTAGTTGCAGTCTGTATTTAGTAGGATTTTCATAGAATCATAGAACAGTTTGGGTTGGAAAGGACCTTAAGATCATATAGTTCCAACCCCTCTGCCATGGGCAGGGACACCTCACACTAAAGGTGGTTTATTACTTTGCTGTTAATTAGTGGTTTAATAGTTTTCAGGTAACAATGATTTACTACTGTTAAGAGGCCAAAACCCCACAATGCAGTTAAAGCTAAGCTATTGGCCTCTGCACCAAAAAGAATACCAAAGGGAATTAATCTTCTCTTTTGGAGGCTTTACTGGGGTCAGCAACCTTTGACAGATGAGCAGAGCACACAGTTAGGAACACTGTCATCTGTGCTGCTGCAGTATGACTTGCCAGCAGTCATTTAAGATTTCTGGAGATTGTTAAAATTGCAGGGTGTGTGGAATGATGGAAAAGGTTACAAGAGGATAAAAAAAATAGAGATACATGCACTTTCATTTCATGTATGAATGAATTTCATGTATTAATTTGATCACTGATTGCCATTTCGTGTCCCTAGTTTTAGATGTACTGCATTTGGTAATAGGTCTGTAAAGCGAAAAGCCACTCTACTGCTGTCTCTCAATACCAGTTTACCAGTGGAATAGCAAAGTACATTGCTGACTGTAATTGGTAAATCCAGAGGCATTATTCACAAATTTAATTAAAAAATGAAACCTTGTCATATGTAGTTTTTTATCCTGTTGATTCCTACAGCCATCCTAAAGATGTCACTTATTCATTAAACCAGTTTGTCCTTTTCAAAACTGACCTGCCTTGTTTAAATTAGAAGTTATACTTATTTTTTTCTCCTTCTTAATAGGAAAACAGCATTATCCTGAATGGAACTGTGATGGTCAGCCCATCACGACTGCCAAGTTCTTCTTATGGGGAACAGTTTAATAATGGCAATTGGCTGCGTTTCAAGCTCTGCATGTGTGCAGATGGGACACTGTTCAAGGTCCAGGTGACAGGTTATAACATGGGTTGTCAGACTCCTGTCAATCCATGCGGAGCCACGCACTGAAACCCAAACCAGTACCAGGAGAGTTCTCTTCTGTGTTTACATGTATTTGTATGAAGTAATTGCATGCCTTCAAGGATTTCTGGTTTTACAGCAGTTTATACTAACGTTTGTTACATAATATTTTTAAACAAAGGCTGTGATGTTCAGCAGTATTATGTCACCATCCTGTTAGCCATAATAGTGGCACTGCTGTAGTAAGCTTTCTGTCTACATGTGTACTGAAGTACCTTCCTGAGTTGGGATCAGTAGAATATATTTCAAGAATGTGATCTTAGCAACAATCTTGTCTGCCTTCAGTTGCCTTTAGAGGAGGTTTTTGTCCTACATCCCAAGACCTGGAGGGCTGCTGAGAACACATCTGTGATCTGAAGGACTTCAGCCGGAA